ATTTTGACTTAAACAAACCTTTAAAATATAAGTTGTATGTTGAGATGAATACGTTTTACAACTATAAGTAATTAGAAAGTACAATTTTGGGTGGAATAAACTTGTAATACTATTGATAGTTTTTGAGTGAAACAAACCTTTAAACTATACGTTGTGTCATAGGTGAAACAAACTTTAAAACAATAAGTAGTATCTTGAGATTTATATATTTTACGTCTATAAGTACTTGAAAGTACAGAAAGTATTTTCGTTGGAACAAACCTTTAACACCTGGTGGCGCCTGTTAGCGATCATCCGCGTCGGTAGGCGGCGCTGTCGCTACAGACCAGAGTCGTAGAAGTGCGCTCCTCAAACTGCAGCCTCCACTACTGTAGACGCATAATATTAGTTAAAACAAAGCCTGTGGCTGAAACCTGCAGCTCGTGATTATATCACTTATATAATTTACACTGAATAAAGACTTTAAACAAAACACGTTTTGTTTAACAGACTTTGTGCCGTTGAGTGTTCGAAGCTAGAAGAAGAGTCAAGATAGATATCTCCATGCGCAGTACGAGTTAGGAGGATAAAGTTCTCGGAGGGTCTACACAGTAAAATTATCTCAAATAGAAGTTTTAGTAAGTCATTAAAGCTACACATTGTATGGAGGTTTACACTAGTATACATTTTCTGGTAACAAGCAGAGTTTAGTGTCCGGTGACCTCGGCGGTAGTGGGGGTGAACTATCTTGGCTGCGCTGCTCGTACAGCTGTTTCTGTTTGTGCTGCTAAAACTGTGCGCAAGCTGGAATCCGCGATTTACATTCAAGGCAGTGATGCAAACAAGCCCGCTGGAAAATAAAGGGATTCTTGTGTGGCTGTCTTGTGGACATAAAGACCCCCTGCCTCTCTTCGCCCACTATGCGGAGGCTCGACGACACCCACGCAGCCCGCTGAGGTCGTGTACAAGGGCTGTTTTATGGACGGCGGCGGCGGCGGCGGCACCGGGGAGAGGCTGTGAGGCTGGACCGTCCGGGGGCATCAGCTGAGCTGGACGGAGCAGCGTTAGCAAGCTAGCCTTTTCGTGACAGAACACGGTCGTAACGGGGGAACGGCGACTCCTCGGCTGCTTCGCTTCGCTCATCATGGCCACGAACGGTAACAATTTGACGCCGGGGATGGGAGAGATCATCCAGCTGAACGTCGGCGGGACGAGGTGAGCTCCGTCCACACATGATGGTCATCGTTTGGTGAACCGGAGCTCTGGTTACTTACGCGTGTAACGTTTCTGCGTGGATGTTCTTCATCACACTCTCACAGACAAGAGTTTCTTATTGTACACGGTGTACATTTGACTATTTCTTCACTTTATTCTGTTATTGTAGCCTCACCAGGCAGTGTTTCCCCACCAGGACTGAGTATTTTGAGCATCATCATTTTAATGCTTTGGATTGGGCTGATCAGTCATGTTTTCATGTGATAAATTGTGCTTTTGTGTATTTATGTTGTAGGTTCAGCACCTCCAGACAGACTCTCATGTGGATCCCAGACTCTTTCTTCTCAAGGTTGGTTGAATGTTTTCAGGATTTTGACTTTGTTCAAACGCACATGGGACATTGAATGCATCTCCTCACTGATAGTAAAGGTGTTATTCTCACTTTTTAAATACTTAATCCCCCACTGAGAGCTCTCATTAATGCTCCCCAGGTTGTATTATAGGAGGCTGAACTAAAACAACACTAGTAAACAGCCTGTAAAGACCCAGTGACCATGCTGTGGTGCACTCACATCCCAGTAAAGACCAAATAAATCACATTACATAATTAATGCTAAGTAGGGATGTTCCACTGTGTCCATCTTGCTTCATTCTTCTGATGAGGGAAAATGTCAGATGATTACAATTACTGGAAAAAGGTTGAAAATCAAAGCTTTACTTTCATCAGTAAATCGTCACTGAAATACGTTTTGGCCTCCAGTGTGCATTCGAATGTTTCAAGAGGGTTATTTAAATGTAATTCTAGCTCTAGAAGGGAGCTCACATGTCGAGGGAAACAGCCGATCGGGGCTGGGCGGACAGCACGGTCCCAACAAACACTGGACTGAGCTCACGGTTTGACAACAGCTGACTGAGTTGTGTAAATGCCTGTCAGACTGTCTGCCAGCGCACCTGTCTGCCTGCCTGTCAGTCTGTCTGCTCCCAGCTGTCTGCAGTCATTTTTCATACAGCCTTATGAATTAGCACATCATAATGTATTAATAGCAACGCAAGGCAATAATTTGGACTTTAGTGTCAACAGGTTAGAAAGTATTTGTCAGAGTAATGATCATACCTGCAGGCAAGTGGTTACACTGCGGGTAAGTGGAAATGGAGAAGTGTTTGTGCTAACCGGAGAACTGTGTGTGTGTGTGTGTGTGTTTTCCAGTTTACTGAGTGGAAGGATATCCACTCTTCGGGATGAAACTGGAGCTGTGAGTAGCCTTTGTTGCTTCTTATTTCAAAACTAGGACACGGTTCTGCAGGCCACGTCTGACATCAGAAATATTGTCTGAAAGCTTCCAGCGAAGAGGACATGACATTTATTCAGTTACTGCAACTCCTAAAACTCTGATGCACGCCGCTGGGATGAACAAATGACAAACAGAGGGTCAGAGCGCGTTAGGCATCGTTAGACTTCATCCACTTTGTCAGTCGTGGGACGATGTGCTGCTTTGTGTAGAGCTGCAGCAAACTGATTATTTCCTTTTTTTTTCAAAATAGTTCTTTACCCTGCAAAATATCAGAACAGAAATAGAAATGTCATTTCCCTCTAGGCCAAGGTGACATTTTCAGTTTAATAAATGGACGACCTTTAAAAATATGAATTGATTACTAATGTAGTCGAGATTTTTTAACACTCACCGATCTCTTTTCCTCAGTGGGTAACAAAGTCTTCAATTTCTCACTTTCAGATATTTATTGACAGAGACCCGACAGCTTTTGCACCAATTCTGAATTTCCTGCGAACCAAAGAGCTCGACCTGCGGTAAGAAAACATCCTTGACTGTTTATTTTAAGGCAAAATCATGTTGGTTTGTATAGAACTTACAGAATATACATGATTTTTTTTTGCTCTGCAGGGGGGTCAACATCAGCGTCCTGCGGCATGAAGCAGAGTTCTATGGGATTACTCCTTTAGGTGGGTTCTTGAACAAAGTTTGAGGAGAAAACAGAGGCAGCAGCCTTGTTTCCTGCACAAACACGATGGAAGCCATATAATATTCTGCTGCCAGATTTGTCAGCAGACTGTCTTTAACATCAGCTGGTGTTGAGTAACAGCATGCAGGTTTTTTGGGTCCACTCTGAGCCGCTACAGTACAAAGAAGCTACTGTCACTAAAGGGAAGTGCTGTCTTGTAATGTCAATGTTGTCTGAGCTTCAGCTGCAACTTGACCCGTTCAAACCCTTAATACTGTTAGCTCCACGTACTCTAATGTTGTTTTACATCCTGTTTCGGTGTTTGTAACTTCCCTGCATTGTCTGCGCGCTTGAATGGGAAAGTTACCTTTGTGAAAGCAGATCACCTACTTACAGACACAATATGCGTCACACGTGACACAGTTTAGATCACTGAGGACTGATCAAACTCAAGGACAGAATCTGATCAGTTGTGTAGCTTCTTATTAACTTTGTCAAAATTTATAGAAACTAAAGAGAGTATGAGGATTAAAATAAAACAACAACAACAAAAAAAAAAAAAAGGCAAAAAGGGAACAAAAACAAAAAAAACTAACAACTAATTATTCGTAAAAGCAACATTCCCGCCCCAAAAAAAAAAAAAAAAAAAAAAAAAAGAAAATAAAAAAAAATAAAGAAAAAAAGATACATAAAAGGCAATAGATAAATAAATATCAAAGTACAAAAAACATCAGCCTCTAAAAAAACACATATATACACAGTTAAGGTAATATCCAACAATTACAACATTTTGAGATGGAATTAATGAGTTTAGTCACTCTTTATTTTCCTACTTGTTATTGTTTTACAGTATTTAAATAAGTGCTTAACATAAAAAACATCCGTCATGAAATCCTGGTAATGAGGTGTTAATTACAGTTTGTATGTGTCTGCACTTGTGTGTGTGTGTTTGTGCAGTACGGCGCCTGCTGCTCTGTGAGGAACTGGACCGCTCATCATGTGGGAGTGTTCTCTTCCACGGTTACCTGCCTCCCCCAGGTAAAGACATGAAGCTGAGCAGAAAGTTCATCTAAAAATAGAGTAAACAATTAGTTAAACTGAGGTTATCACAAACAAAAAGTACAGGATAATACAAAATCTGTAGAAATGTGTTTGTATTCATTCTAGTGACTCTTTCCTTGACAGCCATCCCTGCCCGTAAGTCCAGTCCTGCCTTAGCCGCCTCCGGCTCCGTCTCTGATGAGCGGCCGGGTCCAAGCGGAGCAGAGGGCTTCACCCGCGGTGTCCCCCTTCCTCACCCGGCCTTCTCTGGCTCCCCTGGAACAGATGACAACCACAAATTAGGTAGGTAGCCTCATGAAGAGTGTCTGGATTTCTAAGATAAATACAAAATAGTAATCTCTAGATCATATACAGTAATTGCTTACGTCTGTTGCAGCATGTTTCATCTTAGTGTGAGAAAGCAACCACAGATGTAGCAGTGACTCTTCTTTTTGCAGCGACTTGTCAGTAGGACTAAGTGTCTAGATTCTGCCACAGTGTCAGCTTGAGCATGAAGGTTTGCTCTGTCAGTCTATGTTCATACGGGTTTATTTATATATATATCTGTGTGTGTATATATATCTGTATACAACTGTTTGTGCGCTAGTGAGAGACTACAGCGTATGTAGTGTTTATGCGCGTTTCCGTGAGTGTGCATTAATGCTGCAGCTAATGTGACCTGACATCCTTTTAGTGCGCTGACTAATAGCACTGACTCAAGTAGCCTAGTTTCACTTCAGCCTGCTCCCTGCTGACGACGATATCAGAGAAGATACTGAGCTGCTATTAAATAACAGCAGAGTACACGCCTGCTTTTAGACATTTGAATCACTTTCTGAGAAAACAACAAAAGACAAAATGCAAATTCAGCCGCATTATCAGGTTGTGAAGTAAGTGTGTTTATGTCTATTTTGTCTGTGTGTGTGTGTGTGTGTGTGTGTGTGTGTAGGTCCCATGGTTGACCCTAGGAAAGTGTTGATTATAGCCGGACACCACAACTGGATTGTAGCAGCTTATGCACACTTTGTCATCTGCTACAGGTAATACTGCCACAGTGTGGTTTGTTAAAACATCACCATCCAGCTCTGGTTCATAAGTGGGAGACATTCAATTATTTATGATGCCAGGACAGAGTCATTTTCTTTTGTGGCTCACATTTCTCACTAAATAGTGCCGTGTCTGTACCGGTATACAAGTCTGTACCGGTATAAGTCACCTTTTGCTCTGTACATGTTCAGTCGATTGTAGACAAGTTAAACTCAGGACAAATTTATGGCAACAAAACAGCTCCAAGTGCATTTGGTTGTGAAGTCCTCCTATGAAACTCCCATGTCTCAGGAACAGACTTCTTTCATTCTACCAGATCCAAATTTGCCACATAGTAGCTTAAAGGAAATGTTGACCTAACAAGGGTAAATATTAGGTGTTGTTCTTTATTTTACAGTTCTAAGTCTAAGTTAAATATTAAGTTTAATGAATAGTCCACCAACCTACCAGACTCATGTAAAATTGAAGGTTAGATGCAGCAAATCCACAGATGTAGACCTGTATTACAGCAAATCTTTAGCTAAAAAATAAAAGTAGGGAAGAATATTTTTTATGTGTGTGCTGTCACCACAGAATCAAAGAATCCTCTGGATGGCAGCAGGTGTTTTCCTCCCCCTACCTTGACTGGACCATTGAACGTATTGCACTTAATGCCAAAGTGGTTGGTGGCCCGCATGGAGACAAGGACAAGATGGTGGCTGCCGCCTCTGAAAGCAGCATCATCCTCTGGAGTATCCAAGATGGAGGAAGTGGGAACGAGATCGGTGGGTTCATAACATTTAACAAATGTGGTCCAAGGAGGAAACCTCAGGATACAGACTGTTGTAGATAATGTATTTTAATGTGCATTTTTATACTTAACATTTCTCTCCCAGCCTCCTGTAAATATTCTAATTCCTGTGATTACATCCACCTGCTGTCTCAGGTGTGTTCAGCCTCGGCGTACCTGTTGATGATCTCTTCTTCATCGGAAACCAGCTGGTGGCTACGAGCCACACGGGAAAGGTCGGGGTGTGGAACGCTGTCACGCAACACTGGCAGGTAGGAGGACGTATGTAGTGCAGTGTTGTCTCCTTTATTTGTTCATGAAGATGAGAATTAAAGTATAAAGATGATCAGCATCAGTCAACAGGTTTTCAAGAGGACCGCAGGTATCTGTTGTATGTGCATAAATTTACTTTAATTTATTATAAGTTCACTTTCTGCGTGCATTAGGTTCAAGATGTGGTTCCCATCACCAGCTGTGACACAGCAGGATCCTTTCTACTACTGGGCTGCAACAATGGCTCCATCTACTACATCGGTACACACACACACACACACACCAAATGGCAGCAGCACTATATATCTTCTGCCTGTCACACAGTTTATTGGATGTTTGTGAAGTCGGAGAAGTCCAACAGAAATCCTTGTTACAAGACAAGATACAGGATGCAGTGCAACCAGGAGAACGGTGATATTTTTAAAGTGAAATATTGATATAATTTCAATAATACACACATGATAACATCATAAATTACCCATGATTGGTATCTACCTGGTTGACACTCTGACATCGGAACAACATACATGACAGATATGCTTGTTTTTTTTAGGCATATGTTATTTAACAAAAAAAGAGCCAAAACGCACAGTTAAAAAAAATTAAAGATGAATTTGACTGATAGCGTTTTAGTTTTTTTCAAGTTTTGTGTCAATATTGTGATCATTTTTTGAACAAAATCTAATATCACGACAGCCCCGGGTGCAACAAATGGCGCCTGTTTCTTATTGCTGCATTCATTCATTCAGTATTGTTTATAAAAAGTCTTATAAAACCACCACAGTGATTTTTTTTCACCTGAAGTCTGTCTAAAGATTTTAGATTCATTAAGGGACGGTAGGATTACTGGATCTAAATTTCATAAAGTGCATCAGAACTCCCTCCCAGACACATTAACACTTGTCCTTCCTCTTCTTTTCAGACATGCAAAAGTTTCCACTGAGGATGAAGGACAACGATCTTTTGGTGACTGAGCTTTATCATGACCCTTCTAACGATGCCATCACTGCACTGTCTGTCTACCTCACACCTAAAACCAGTCAGTACCCGAGTTCTTTTCCTCTAAAAATGAAGAGAAATGCTATTCTTTTGATTCCAGCTCTGTTTGTCCTCCGTGTTTCACCTACTAGGATATAAACAGATAGTGTTGGATGCAACACATATCGCTGTTACTCACCTGTGTGTGTTTGTGTTGTGTTTTTCACTCCCCCGTCCCTGCTTCTGCTCTCAGGTGTGAGTGGGAACTGGATAGAGATCGCCTACGGGACCAGCAGCGGAGCAGTGAGAGTGATCGTGCAGCACCCGGAGACGGTGGGATCAGGCCCGCAGCTCTTTCAGACGTTCACTGTGCACAGGAGCCCGGTGACCAAGATTATGTTGTCTGAGAAACATCTGGTGTCAGGTGAGGAAGGTGGAGCAGGTGGTGTTCCTGCTGATGGAGGATTATAGGAAATAATAACCAGCTCTTGTTAGTGTGTGCTCTGTCTTACACACACGGGTTTACGTCTTACCTCGTCGTGCTTTTGTGTGTCAGTGTGTGCGGACAACAACCACGTTCGGACGTGGACGGTGACCCGGTTCAGGGGGATGATCTCCACGCAGCCCGGCTCCACCCCTCTGGCTTCCTTCAAGATACTGTCCCTGGAGGAGACGGAGAGCCACGGGAGCTACTGCTCTGGGAATGATATAGGTGAGAGAGTTGAAGGAAGCTCAGAAGAAATGGAGCTGAAATGGAAATGCACATTAATATAAATGAAGGACAGAGGGGAGTGTCCTTGGAACAGATTTTTCATTGACACTAGAAGTAGTGGGTGGATCTTGTCCTTCTGATTCAACAGACTCACAACATGAAGATATGATCAGTCTAATATCAGCTGTTCAGCTCTTTTGAAAAGTAGTGAACATGAAAAAATACTGATCACATGAACAAAACCACTAGAGAATAAACTGTTTATCATGTTAAGGCATCCGTAGTTTCATGGGTGTTCCTCTGTTCTTGTATCTCAGGTCCATTTGGAGAGAGAGACGATCAGCAGGTTTTCATCCAGAAGGTCATCCCCATCACCAACAAACTGTTTGTGAGGCTCTCATCAACTGGAAAAAGGTACGAAGCCTCAAATATACCTCGAACTGCTCTAGCCTTTTTTAGAGTTTGTTGTAAGCTGTTTTTCTTTAACCTTTTCTTTAAAGTTTGTGTTTTCGTGCTTCATTTATATGTTATTAATTACATGTATCAGGATCTGTGAGGTGCAGTCCGTGGATGGGACCACCATCTCCTGCTTCATGGTACGGGAGTGCGAGGGTTCCAGTCGAATGGGATCCCGACCGCGGCGCTACCTGTTCACCGGTCACGGCAACGGCAGCATCCAGATGTGGGACCTGACCACTGCGATGGACACCGCCAACAAAGGAGAGGAGAGGAAGAAAGAGGGTGAGGAAGGAGGGGAGCAGGGGGAAGTGTGCAGGGCAGCATTCATTGAGGAGGGACAGTGCAGCAGATCAAATGTGACAGTTTCTTTTGCTGCTCCTGTGTCTGACAGATGTTGGTGGACCTACAGAGGAGGAGCTGCTACAGCTGCTGGACCAGTGCGACCTGAGCACCTCCCGCTGTGCAACGCCTAACATCAGCCCCGCCCCCTCGGTGCTGCACCACACACGCCTCCGAGAGTCCTGCTCGAGGTTGGAAACACGGTTCACCACGTACTCACTAAGGTTACCCACACATATGTAAACATGTTTGACTGACCTGTCTCTGTCTCATCAACCTCAGTCTGCAGCTACAGGTCCAGGAGCCCATCCCAGAGAGCCAGGCCACTTACGGAGCTGTGCGACCCTACAGAGAGAGCCCCCTGCTGGCCCGCGCACGTCGAACTGAGTCCTTCCACAGCTACAGGTAGCATCTGTCAGACTCTCCAGATATTGTACTTACTGATACTCTAAGGGTTTAAATAGTATTATTAAAATGCAGGTCGTTATGGTTTTATTCTGCAGGTTTTGAGACATCCACTTGATTTTTCATTATAAGTACTTCCATTAAATATACACCAAATAGTCACAATGTTAGCAACCATGTAGCAACCTAATATTTTCGGTTCCCCTTTGTGCTGTCAAAGCAACTTTGATCCACAGAGGTAGGGCATTAGAACTCTGGAGACGTCCTGTTGTGTCGGACACTGGAACACTGGCAGTGGATCCTTTGGGTCCCGTGGTCTGTTCGGTGGGCCACCGTAAGTCGGGTTTGTTCTGATGTGTCTCATGAATGCTCTATCAGATTGGGATCGAGGGAATTTGGAGACCAGGTTGTTTTCCTCAAGCTGTTCCTGAGCACTATTTGTAGGGTGCATTGTCCTGATAGAAGAAGGGTCTTGCTGCCATTAGAGGGTGAACTTGGTCTGTAACAGCGTAGAGGTGGGTGGTACGTGTCAAGTAACATCCACATGAAGACCAGGACCCAGCATTCACCAGCAGAACATAGTATCGTAATGACATGATCAATGTTACATCTGTCTGTGGCTGGATGGTGTATCGCCTCCATTAGGACTTTGTTGTCTTTTGTAAATTATCTACAACTAGAAAGACAGTCTCTAAAAAGAAATAAATTAAAAAAACAAAACAAAACATTTGTCTTTGTTGTATGGCTTAAATCTTAGGGATCTCAAACTATGAGCATTTCTAGACACCATAGGGGGTAAGTGAGGACAAGTGTCTTTTTGTAATTTCAATGACTTGTCCTGAAATCTCTCTGCACTTTTTTAACTTCCTGTTCTTGAAGCATATCGGATTCGTGGGATCTTGTGTGTTTAGCCCGTGAAGAGCTAATAGGGTGTGAACAAAGCAGACAGAGATGGAAACTCTGCAGTGCTGCTGCTCTTCAGAAGCACGACCAGCATCTGGTCTTGAAGCAGAGTCACCCTGTTTGCCCTCTACAATCTGATTATGCTCCGTGCATGTCAGCTGCAAAAATGCTGACTTGTCTGCATTATTTTTAGTTGTATATCCACCCGTAACTGACCCAATTATGTTTTTCCTGTAGAGACTTCCAGAACTTCAGCCTGAGTCGAGGTGTCCTGGACAGCACGGGCCAGCCGTCCGCCCATGGACCCGGTCAGACCCTCGATGCCCGCCGCTCGCTCTGCGACTTTGGGCCTGAGGACAGTGAGAGGAGAGCTTCAGTCATGGAGCTCTGGGCCTGTCGAACCACCAGCGTCAGCTCCAACACAAGCGCTGGAGCCGTGAGTGCTGCCGGCGTCTCTGGGGCGAAAGCAGAAAGCGGTCAAGAACCTCCACGGCAGCCTCCAGACAGCCCGGTTCCAGGAGGTGACGTCAGGCGAAAGGTGCATCCTCAGCTGGAGGAAGGGGAGGGTGTTGGATCAGGGGGGGAGGGGGCGAAGGTGGACGGAGGTGTGAGGAAGAGGGGAGTCCTGGAAGGAGGCTTTCTAGGGAGGAAGAGGGCTCCTCCAGTTCCACACCTCTCCTCCCTCCCCTCTGGATCCGAAGGCGGCGGCAGCGACTCGTCTGCAAACGCCTCGCCGTCCCCGACCAAACTGGCCGCCTCCACCTCGCCGCGACACAGGAAGCTGGCGCCTGAGCCGTCCAGTCAGGACAGCAGCCTGTGAGGGCGCCCGTCATGTGATCAGTGGATTTATCTCATTGAGGCGTCCTGCAGATGCACGTCGGAGTTATTATTTGGGAGATTAAGGCTGAATACGACAGGAAAAACAAAATCAGCTGCAGGCAACGTCACCGTCAATTTCAAACCTACATTTCTCACATAAGTACAGTTCAGGATGTTTGTTTTTTTCAGACCCACACAACAGAAGCACTACCACGGTTTAATGAGCCCAAGATGAAGAAGCAGCTACAACATCCCAGCAGCTTGACATCTCAACCAGAGCAGGAATGCACATTGTTGTTTGTCTTACAAAGATTTAATGAGTGACTCTGCTGGGTGCAACTGGAGCTCCACCATCTTATTCTGCTCATGGCGATTGTTTGAGGTTGACTTAACAGACTGGTGATGACGGTCGCACTTTGAAGTTGCAGGCATGAGTCAGATAAGTCCTGAGGAACTGCTGAAATAGTTTTCTCATCCTGTGTCGATGTTACTAACCCGAAGAGAACACACAGAGACGACAAGAACAGACAGAAGTCTGACTGACCAGGTACTTTTAAGGCTGTGTTGTTGCCGCCTGTGTGATTGAAGCACAAGTTACAGATAAGTGCAGACTAAAGTTTCTACAACAAAAAGAAAGAAAAAACAGATGACAACACTGAGGGTTCTAACAATGAATGAGGATTTGACTATTTAGCTTGTGAGACTCTTAAACAGCTGCAAAACTGACAAAAGGCACATCATGCTCTTTATCCAGAGTTTTACACTTTTAACCATTTAAACAGAAAACATTCAGATTTAAGCAGAATTTGAATTAAAATTTCTTCAGATCTTTAGCTAACAGTTATTTCCTTAAACAGATAAGATATTTTTTAGACTGTATCCAGTCAGAAAGTGTTGCCTATCACACAAATATGTGACTTGTATTGATGTTAAAAATGCAGCAAAACATCTCAGAAGAACCCATTTGGTGATTGGCCACGCTGATCTAGTTCCTTTTCAAAGACACGATGATCTCAACTGTCTGACAGTTTGGACAATTTGTTGCGCAGTGAATTTTTACTTCAACTTACCTTAAACTTGTTTCCTTGGGCAGAATCTTTTCAGCTCCTTGATTACAGCCGGACACACAGCGGTTACTGTTGGTGAAACACTCAAAGCCAAGCGACTGTAGCTGATCGCAGCTCCAGCATGCAATAAGACCTTCTGGGTTGGTTGTTCGACAGCTCAATACTATGCAACGGTTGTGTTACGACGCACAACAGAAACTAACACTCTGGTTTCCACATGAAGGCTCGCTAAACGTCGGTCGGCACTATACGTGGATGACGGCCTGCAAAAACACTGAACCCTCATGTGAGTGTGCGCTTACTTTAACCTATTAGTTCCAGTCCAAAGCCATTATTAATTTACTCCTGTACTAATTATAGTTTAACAGCTTCCTCCATCCTCAGCAAAGGCACAAAAATGGCAACTGGTGTGTGGCGCCGAGTGTATTTCGACTCAACAATCGGAGGTTTTCCATTAAACAAGTGCTGCAAAGCTTAAAAATGTGCAAACAGCGAGGGCAAATCTGCCTTCAGGTCATACAGTGATGAGTTTTCCTTGGTTTTTAAATCATCACTTGGTACATGTGTTACTGTGGGGGAAGCTCACACCTGTGCTCTACAGCTCATAAGGAAGAAAAACTATTTGTGCTCCTGGTTAAATTCTGATTTTTTTTCTCTTCACAGTGGTGCCTGTTTGAGATCGCGCTAATTATTTATTTTTTTATTTGATTTTTTTTCACTACCAACATGATACTACACTCTAATACGAGGACCTACACTACATCACTTTACTCCCTCTGGAACAGGTTTTTTTTTTGTGTGTTGTCTTGTGTTGGATGACTGTTGCAGTGCCTTATTTAACTGTTAACTGTGTGTTTGAGTCTATAAGGGTTGTGACCAAAGGCTAGTGAAGGCGGAGCTCATTGTGGAGGCACAACGACGGACCTGTTCGCTCTGGCTTTGGCTAGAACTGTGTTATGATAGATTTACAGCAGGCCAAATCAGATTATACGAGTGGCATTACATTTAAAATGTTTGTAAATATCCTCGATTTAGACCAAGATTGGAAAACCCAAACTTCTTCCTGAAACCTGAGGATTTTTTTTGTTTTATTTTTTTAATCTGTAAGTTTGAGGTGAACCAGGTTCACTTTCTCTTCTAAGCATATCGTGGTAAAGCGTATACTGGAAAGAAAAACAATGCACCTTGTTGAAGATATATTTGTGAAGGTCGTTCTATGAGCTAAACCAACTCGATCCTCTGAGTTTCCACTGCGGTTGGTCTGGCCGGCTCATGATCTCTGGTACTTTGTTATAAATATTGCGAAGACAACTGTAAAAACTGGTGACGGTAAAAAAAAAAAAGAAAGAAATGTTCATTCTAATTTGCCAAATCCAGGATCTATGTAACATCTTTCACTGCTTATTACTTATGTATAAAAATACAACAGACCATGTGGTCCCTGCTTGTACAAAGATGTAAATTTTGATACACTAACTGTACCGACAGTACTGAAAACAAAATCCTCATATGGATGCATTGGTGTGTGTGTAATGGTGTGTTCATATAAGGCCTATACTGATACTCTCATGCTATTGGACCTAACTGCATTTGCACTTGCACTACGAAGACTAATAGTATAGTAACTTGCTAGTGTTTATTTTATATAAAAATATACAGTCTAAAGTGTATTTCCGCACATCGCTGTTTGTCTGTTTTATCTGTCCATCCCTCACTGGCTACGTTTACATTATATTACAGCCAGACGCTAATGAGCTAAAGGAAACACATATCTGTTCATGTAAACTGCCCCTGGGTGTTTTGACATTGTGTATGTTAGAAAATGCTGCATTGTGTTGTTCTGTTATTATTTACAGCTGCCTTCAGTGCTCATCAGACACGACGACACTCACTAAACGCTCTCATTGTACTGAACATGTTCCTTTCTTTAACTGGCAGTGATTATTATTATTATTATTTTTATTACCTGTTTACATTCTCAATCTGCAGATCATTCAGCTATTTTTTACATTTCACATTATTTTCAAGCATAGGAACATTTTCTGTGTGTATCATTGCATATTGTATTAAACAATGTGACACTGTTCTGGGATCTTCACTCCAGTTTTGTGGCCACAGAGCATCAACAGCAAAAAATAAACAAAAATCTGAATTGTTGTGGGATTTGAGATGCTTAAATCTATGAAATGCGTATACAATGAATTCAAGCAAACCATCAGGACTCAGTTGTCGTATGGCAGTAAAGCCACCGTTAAAACTAGACTCAGAAAGAAAATAACAGACTTAAGAAACGCTGTCAGTCACTGCTGAGTTTGCAGTAAGCGGTTTGTACGGATATCTTGCCGAAGTGCGCGATTTTTGTTTTGTTTGAGTGCCACCGAGGTGTGTATGTGTGTGTGTCTCCCCAGCGCTTTCATTTCACTAACCTTCCTGTTCAGACAGTCTCCTCTCTGAGACGGCGTCTGTCGTCATTGTGATTTATGAGTTTAATAAAACGCTGTGTGTGTGTGTGTGTGTGTGTGTGTGTGTGTGTAGCTCAGGGCCATACTGTCCCTTACAATCACTCCACAAGCTCTCTTTTCACAACCTCTCCCTCCCTCCGTGGCTGACAATAGCTGTGAATGTGGCTGTGAATGTTTTAGAAGTGCCCTTGTCAGATTGGTGTCCTTGAGCGAGGGCACGGTTGTTACTGCCAGTTTGTTAATTTCAAACTTGCCTTGATGTCCCCTTGAGGGACGCAGGAGCAAAACTAAATTACTGCTGCATAGTTTTGATGGAGACACCGGCCCCTCTGTGTGCTGCTGTGTATGCGACTGTGTGTGTGTGTGTGTGTGTGTGTGTGTGTGGTAACTAAGTCTCTGCACAGCTGGTGGCACATCTGTGTCGCACTAACTCAGCAGAAAAGAGGAATCCTAAATCGACATCTCAGCTAGACGACCACCGCCACTCTGAGTCACCGTGAGCGGCGCATTTAGATGGGAAAGCTTCATTTATGATGTAATATCCAGCAGTATTCAACCATGTGTTAATACTGGAGGTAAACAGCAACTGAGGCATGTTGTCAGGGGCTTCTCCTCGCATGAAAATTCACGATTAAAGTGTTTTTTTTAAGCTAAATATCCAAGTATGTTCCTTATTCATGCACACATACACATATCTTTTAAATGTTTTGTTGTCATAATAGTAGTTTAAATGAATATTTCAACCGAACCTCATCATGAAGCCGTTATTCACGCATTATTAGTGGAGTTTCTGCCCTTTTCTGTCATTGTAGTGATTTAGATTTCACCGCTCGGGGCTTGAACATCAAAGTGGGACATTTGTGTGTCTTTTATTTTCAGTTGCTGCTTTCAAATCTCAGTTAACAATGGAGTAAAAAAAATTAAACTTAAACTGCTACAAGATGTCTTTGGCTCTTTTTTAAAAGAGAAAAAAAAAAACACCCACACAGGGTTTTGATTTGTTTTTCACAAGACTGCTGTGTTCATTTTTGTTCTGTGGGAAATAAACAAAGAGACGGAGCACAGTCACGCTGCAAACTTCTGCTGCGAGGACCGAGGCATCTACAGCCCGATGAGGTCTGACTGTAGTTCACAAGTGTTTCAAGTCAACACAATGTAAGAAAAACAAGAAAAATGAATATGTTTGGACAGTTTTTATATAATTTCCCAGAAAAAACACAAACATTGATCAATGAATCATCTATAAATAAGACCTTCTATATACAACAACCATAAATAATACTGCCATTGTAAAAAAAAAAAAAAAAGAAAAACGTTCTTGTAATAATACAGTAGGCTTCAATACACAAAACATCAGAACCCAAGTCAACACCTCTCACTGATAAATACTGTTTCTAGGCCTGATCTGCGGAGTCCAAATATAATCAATGTTTTACTAAAAAGACAAAACATTCCTCAGCTGATAGATGGAAATTACTGGAAGCCACAGACAAACAACACTGACTCTGGACACACTGAACTTTGAAATCAAGCCCAGATCCAGTCTGCAACTTCACTGCAGATAAACAAAACTTGATTTCCATTATCACCAGCTTCCTCTACATCTACGCTGCAGTAAACATCCACATGTGATGCGGTGAGACAAACTCTCAGACTGGGCTTTCAAGTTACGTCACATAATCACAACGGCACATCTGTGATTCCCAGCCACATTTAACACATTAAAAAAAGCAAACTCTTGGCATTTTTTTTGTTCTACTAAAACAAACATCAAGGCCATGTGTCTTGTTACAACTAAAGGACCAATGCTGCTGATAAGCTCACTCGGCACAGTTACTGGTCGACGCAGACTGACATGAACAAGCTTTCTACGCGGGTTTAATCCTGTGAATTAAACCTGCTATTTTGCACTTTTCAAAAATAACTACACTACTAACAGTTGGCAAGCAGAGACAGTGAATCATAATACAACCAGAACATGATGAGAAAGTCATTTAAGGGCTGTTCTGGTTCTTAAACCGAGCAGGGTTTGATGTAACACACTGTGTAATTACTAGTTATGGATACATTCCAGCTACGGAGCCAATGTGCTGTTGCTTCATTATCTCACAGCCGACACAGCGACTGTGTCCGTATGTGAACTACATTCATGGATCCCTGCATCTACTCAAGTTAAGGCTCGACAAGGACTCAAACACAATGTGGACTAAAATGAAACCAAACCTGTTTAGATATAGTTGAATGCTCTCATAAAAGCTTTACTCTCTTTCCCTCGGGGTGTTGAGTGTGGTTTTCTTTTACAACTTTGAATCTGAGCTTTGTTAAAACATTATTGCATTTTATACACATAAGATGATATATATATACTCTTTAGGTCATATTTATTAACAGTTATTTGCCCGTCCTCAGCTGCAGACTGAAGAGCATCTCTGAATGTGTCTTACTTTGATCTCAGGTCTGGATAGCGACTGTGGTACCTGACAGGTGTTGGATTCTTGTCTCAGAGATGAGTGTCAGTGAACATGGTGTGCTCCTTTTTCACAGAACTTAAGGCCTTGATGGCGTCCACAAACTCGTCTTCCTCCACATACTGAAAAAAGACACAAAACATCTCACGATTAGGGCTGGACTAAATGAGAAGAACGGTTACAGTGCAGGAGAGCAAGTCTGACGACACCAACGGGCGCTTTTCTTCTGTCATAAAAAGGAAAATAGGAGAGACAGGTGTGGCAGGATGGTGCACAGAATGACAACATACTAGAGCTTTTTATAGTGATTGAAACATTCCCTGGTTTGTTACTTCTACAGTATTCCCTTCATGGCAATCAGCTGTGGAGAGTTAGGAGATTTTTGTTATTTTCTGTCCACATACGAGGTGTGTCAGAAAAGTTCCAGGACTGGTGTCACAAAAGATAGATTTCAACCCAAACAACAAACTAGGAATTTTATCCTTCCGATGATCAACCAGCACGTCTACAAAGAGATCCTGCGGCGTTTGCTTCGTTCAGTGCGTGAGAAGAGGCGAGATGTGGCAGGACAAGTCGTGGCTGCTTCACCATGACAACGCGCCTGCTCACAATGCCCTGAGCATCCCACAGTTCCTGTCTGAGAAGAACATCACCGTGCTGGAGCAACCTCCCTACTCACCCCACCTGGCTCCGTGGGATTTTTTCCTCTTCCCCAAGCTCAAGGGGGTCATCAAGGGGACCTGTTTCTAAGACGTGGACGACATCAAGATGGCTGTGACGACGGAGCTGTGGAAGATCCCGGAAGAATCCTTCCAGGAGTGCATGGCGGCGTGGCAGAGAAGGCTGGGGAAGTGTGTTAGACTCCAGGGGGATTACTTGGAAGGGGAGAACTTGTAGTTTGTATTTAAAATATATCTTTTGTGACACCAGTCCTGAAACTTTTCTGACACACCTCGTATTATTCTGTTTCGATCCAGAGGACACGTCTTTCGGTGTAGATAGACTTTGTTATGAGGCATTTGCAACAATCTACAAACTTCAGATAACTGCAGGTAAAACCGAGCGAGTCGAATCCAGAAAGCAAACAAAAGCAAGTTCTATCTTAAAGCCTTCCAAAAGACCTGACTTCACAGTGAGGGCACCAACCAGCAGAGGTCTGGTCCTCCTGACAGGGAACATCCGTCTGTGCTGCAAACGCTGCTCTGCTCTGCAAATGCAATTACCAAATTAAATAAACATATATTTCCATCCTCACCAGTCCAGAATCATGTCCTAGTGGGTTGTCCCAGCTTCCTTCCTCCATCATCAGTGACTTCCTGTCGATCAGCTGACTGACGCTGCGGTGCAGGGAATGCTGTGAGTAGGCCTGATCCAGGTCTGTTTGACTGGGAACCCGCAGGACAGAAATGGGGCTGAAGCGTGAGCTGCTGCCGGCGATCTTGGTGTCTGTCAGACCCTGAGGAGCGAAGTCACAGGCAGAGAGGGATTTAAAAGACCGCATCATATTACTGTCAAACATTTGTCCAAGTTTGCAGCAGTTTTAAATATAAACTGTCTGATCACATTCTTAAAGCATAGATACAAGATCCATTCTTATTTATAACACAAACTTACTAACACCTGACTCTGTTCATTGATTCCCACATGACTATGAAATGAACAGAAACCAACAGAAGCAAGGAAAAGCGTTGGTATTCTCTAGAGCAGGTGTGCCCAGTCCTGGTCCTCGAGAGCCCCTATCCAGCATGTTTTAGATGTTTCCCTCTTCCAACACACCTGATTCAAATGATCAGCTCATCATCAAGGCTTCTGCAGAGCTTGATGATGAGCTGATCATTTGAATCAGGTGTGTTGGAAGAGGGAAACATCTAAAACATGCTGGATAGGGGCCCTCGAGGACCAGGATTCGACACCCCTGCCTAGAGGGAGGTACACATGATGTTAAACACATTATCCAATCAACAAGTTCTCTGGAAACTAATATTGTTGAAATTATCATAATTTTTTTTTAACATAAAATAATATATATATATATATACACAATAATTTTATAACAAGTCTGTTAAGAATTATTTAAACTGAAATGTATATCAGGGGTCATTACCAACTATTCTGCTGTACAACTAATATAAACGTTCAACAGGGGGCACTACTCTGCAAGAATTGGCCCTTTGAATCACACAGCGGAGAGCTGGCTGACTCTAGAAACATGTTATTTATTTTTTAAAATAATTTGTTCCAGAATGAAAACACAGCAGATACACAAGGAACCAACATCACCTGAGCCATCAAACAAAGAGCAACATTAAGATAAAGCACAGTGGGATGTTCAGTGGCAGGTGTCTGCATTCTACCTTCATTCTTGTGGCTAAAAATGTGCAAATATCAGATGTTTTTTTTTTTTGTTATATGTAAAGTCAACAGTGGGTTTGAGGACAAACCAGCAGAGTGTTCATGTCTCAGCCTCACAGGATACGACAACACAAACACTGTCCTTACATGACAGTGTAAGGGTCTGAACACACAAACAAAGCATGCACACACACACAAACAAAGCAGACATGTGCAGAACGGCAACCCACAAAAATGCACAATCTCATACCTCGGTGTACACAGTGTAGCTTTTAAGTATAACGCTGCTGATCTCAACACAGTCTGCTACAGTGTCAAACTGCAGGGGGGGACAGTGAAATAAACGTTTAGCAAATGCACAGCGACACAGAAAATAATCTTACTGTGGGGCGATCAGGGAGGAGCACAGAGCCGGAGTGATGTTTAGAGCACAACTCAGGATAAGGCCTCTGAGAGAGAGAGAGATAGAGAGATAGAAATAGAGAGAGAGGGGGGATGGAGAGAGCAGCATAGGAACGAGCAGAATCAGAGAAGATAGGCAGCAACAATGAAAAGAAAAAAGATTGATAGAATGAAAAAGAGTAAAAATATGAAAATGTAAATGAATTTAAAGAACATAATGTGAGAGAAATTTCAAAGAATAGTGAGACAGAATGGAAACAAGTCATTAAATGAACTAAATGAATAAATTAAAGGTGTTTGTTTTGTTGTTGTTGAGATAAACAGTCTCTACTTTGAACAGAACAGCATTAAATGGTTTATTTAACTGCTGTATTTAGACCACTGGGTCCTTGTTGTCAGCCACAACTGTACAATGGATGCAGACTGAATTTGACACAGAGGAAGCAACCTACATACACACACTATATTTATGTAAAAATATCAAACAAATCAATAATTAATAGCATGTTTTTTTTTCTTTTTCTTTTGCTGAGTAAGCCCTTATTTACAAAAGGTGCCATAAAACAAGTCTTGCTTCCTCTGATTTTTTAAATCCCATTCTCCTCTCTGCTCTTCCTTCTTTTATTAACTAGCTCTCACTCTTCCCTGTTTTTTTTAACCACCTTCTGTCTCTCACCATGTAAACATCTCCACCAGCCTTTCTGGTCTTCTGCAGCATGACCAGTGGAGGGCGCTCTCTGGCTGATGGATTCTTCCTCAAGGCTCTGAAGGGAAGAGAAAAAAACAAAACAGCGTTGCTATTTTTGTTCTTCATGTTTAGTGAATATGCGCCCATCTCGGACATATAAGTGCATTTTGAGAAGAACGCCCTAAACCCTTTACGTGCTGCATATTCCATTGGATTACCTCTGCAGCACTAAGCCCAGCAGTAGGGCCAACAGAAAGAGACCCAGCAGAGACAGCAGCAGGATGAACCAGAGTTCAGAGTAAACCGGGGTGGCTGACATGCTCACACCCTGTTTACCGCCGTCTTCATTTTCAAGAGGAGCTGCACGAAAAAAGAGAGAGGGGAAGAAAAAGTTAACAAGTAAACAATTAGTTAAAATTCCTCTGATTTTTATCTGTTAGTTGTATCTATTTCTAACTGGCTGTATTTGGATAAGCTTTAGTCACATTCTTTCATCATAACATCCTGTCAATGAAGTTAAACTGAACTGAAATAAGAAGATGAGACACGTAAGAATAAAGTGTGTGTGTGTGTGTGTGTGTGTGTGTGTGTGTGTGTGTGTGTGTGTGTGCGTGTTACCGAGGCCAGTGGCTGGACTGTATCTGATGGTCGGAGTGCTGGCGCTTCCACTGTCTGTGGTGCAAGTCACCTGAAATGACAGAGCTAAGAAGACCAGACAGGGAGAGAACACAAAATAAAATATCGCAGGTTAAAATGAACAACGGTTTGATAGACCTGACACTAAATCTGTCTTTCGGTCCTCTGCAGGCCGTTTACAGCGTAAACCAAAAACTAAATCAGATTGTTCGGGGGACGTCCGTATACAGGAACAAACATAAAGAAAAAATATACTTGACTGGTTCTGAGCTGAAGAAAAATGGCTCTATGCATTTGGTTTTAGACGCTTCTCCTCCTCTCTCCACTCCAACTCCTTCAGTTTACAGCTCAGTCAGTCATGGTGACTTCCAGTACTTTCAGTTTTTACTTTAGCACACTGAGCTGACAGCCAATCAAATACATCTTTATGTATTAAAGATCAACATTTGTAGACTCAACTAAAAATAACACTTTAATATGATGTATATCAGTAGCCTATTGGCCATAAATGTAAAATGACCAACATACCAGTCTGTCAAAACTACTTCAT